GGCCTGGTACAGGAATAGAAACACACAGCTGGGGAGGAGGAAAGGATTATTTAAGCTGGTTTTAGCAGTATTGTTGCTGAATGTCACAGCATGTCAAACCTTACTCTGAAGAGTTCCTTCTGGAACAACTTCTGGGGTAAGGAAAGGAGGATTTGACCCCAAGGTGATTTATTGCATAGGCTTTTGCTGCAGCTGTACAGGTACATATGCTATTTTAAAAACACAGTCACAATATGCAGGATGAAGTCAACCAGAGTGATCAATATAAACAATTTGTATTAAAGTTTTATTAATTGAATGGAGTACTAAAGTATGTTTTCCATCACAACATGGTAATGCTTAAACCCTGGAATGCTGAGCCCACTGGCTTCCAAGCTGATCAATAATATCTTGTTATTTTATGTTCCATCCCTTAAACATGTCATTCTGCTATTAACTTTGACTTTTGTACTGGTTCTGAATCTCTGGAATGTGAACTGCTCTGGCTTTGCACAGTACTTGGCACAGTGGGGGTCCTTATCCATGACTGGAATTCCCAGGCATGGCACTAATGTAAACCATGCCTAATAATTCATAAATATTGTGTGCAGTAATAAGTGCCAGGAGAACGTGGAGCAAGAGGAAAGTGGTTTTTAAAAAACCCACTTTTCCTGCATTTATTTCCATCACTTAAAACTGACAGGTTTTTGCACTGAATAACTAATACCTTTCCTTCTCCTCTGACAGCCAAAACCAGTGAAAAGTGGCAAAAAGGAAAGTATAACACTTCAGTACTTGGCAACTCTTGCTGTTCTTCAGGCCCTATTTGATGCTTGGTCTCAGCTGCATTCACAGCACAGGAAGTTACTTATGCAAAGAATGGAACACAGATATTTTGCTATTTTTGCTATTTTACCACCTAATTGCTGTAATACTAAGAAACTGCGTAGTCATATCCAGAAATAGAAACAGAAAGTATGATATATCTTGAGGGAAAACTAAATCCAGTGAATCCTGGTAACATCAGAAAGATAACAATATTGTTTCTGTAATATTAAAATAGAAAAAAAATCAGGGAAAGTAAAGCAACTTCCAAAATTGATTCAAATTGGTTAAATGGTATCAGAAAAAAAACAAACCCACTTTTAAAAATATTTTTTTCTTAAATGACATTAAATTCCAGTGATCCAGAAATTTTACTTTTCGTCTTTTCTAAAGGCAAAAGTTTGGGTGGTTTTAACGTGAAGTATTTTGCTCTTAAAAAATCCAACCCAAATTAAGAGTAAAGAAAGTCAGGCAAGCTCTTCCAAAGGGTAATAAAACCATTAGGCTGTTTTTAAATCTTATTTTACTGAATATGTCTTCAATGAGTTGCAAATGGATTTCCATCCCATTTTTCATTAAATTTATTCTCCTCCACTCCCAAGACACAGAACTGAGAACTCTGGAATCACCAACAAAATTGTCTTTGAAACATTTCCACAGCAGCCCAAATCGTGACCTTGTGCCACCCTAATAAAGACATAAGTGCTTGTGAGGAAGCCTGTTTTAGAAACATTTCCACTGGAACTTTCTTTATCAAACGCTGGTCTAGAGAGGAAAGTCTCTTGTAAAGCAGATGTGTAAAAGCCCACAAAAAGGAGGCTGTTGTGTAGAGTTCCTGAGTGCTTTCTGGCAATGGTTAATTGGCCTTTAATTAATGAACAGACTGAAATGAGGCTGGGGAGCAAAAACTACAATCTGCTTTGGGAAGGACTTTCTCTGCCTGAACTGGTTTATACTCTGTACACTTAGAAAAATCACTGGAAAAGCAGCATGGCCAGGTGATCACATAAGGAAAAGCAAGTAGAACCTGCTTTAAATTAGATGTGAATTTTAAAAGAACGAAGAACAGCCTTGGAGAAATTCTGAATTCAATATGGCCTTGGTATAGTATAAACAGTATTTTAACTGATGAAGGCAGACCAACAGCACAGTAAGGAATCTTTTCATGGGCACTGGCTTGGTAGCCTGCAAAGTGCAATTTGTAAATGTAGAATAAAAGAATCACAGGCAGTCAAAACATTCTCATTTACTTTTTGAAAATGGTCTCATTGATTTGCTCTTAACAGCAAGTGCAACAAAGGGAAATCAATACATTGTCTATATTGCAGATATTAACCACATACACATGGCTTTGCAGGGAAAAGGTTACTGTCTTCCTAGTGCCCAGTGAAATGGAATATTCCCATTGCAAGTAAGAGATTTTCATGGGGAAGGAGGAAATACCACAGTAGCTCTTCCTTTAGAGATAGCTAGAGCTGCCATATGAAACAGTTATTTCAGTGGAAAGAAAGCTAAAAATAAATTCGGGCAAAAATTCTTGTGCTGATCTGCTTTCCCTGTTTTTGAGTGTGTTTTCATTTTCATGCCAAAAGCTAATGTTCATGCCAGTGGTTTTGTGTTTTTCTGTTATAAAACACAACATACAAGTATTTTCCAGAGTATTTAATATTGAAAGTACATTTGCAGGTACTTCTGAAATGTTCTAGTGACCACTGCTGGCTGTCCCAAACAAACCTCTTTTATCTGCTGTATTGCCAGTCAGGAGACTTTTGTTCTGAGGAGGTTCATTCTCAAAGCCAGGCTTTTCAGAGGGTCTATTTAATTCATAACATAACCCCTCTAAAAAGCACACAATAGCCTTTTCAGAAAAGTATTTCAGAAGAGGAAGGTAACTCAAAAGCCCTTCTTGCATCAGAGTTGCAAAGCACAGTTAGATTAAAAACTGACAAGGCGTATGAAGGGTAAGAAAAAAGGCTTCTACAGTTACTACAGCATAAAAAAAAGAGATGACCCACGATTTTTCTGATGTTTGATGGCAGCTACCAGGAGCATGATAGCCAAAAAAACCAAAAAATAATTCCATGACTTCTTAATCACAGGCGTGTAGAAATAAAGTTCCTCACACTCTCTCCAGTGTCATTCCAGAACTGGTATCCTTCATCTCAGGAAGAGCTGGGTGTTCATCCAATCTATCCAGTTAATTGCACTTCCAAGTATGGCCCTTCCCATTAATCAGCATTTAAACTTGAAATCAAGCAGGGGGCAATCAGGTATTACTGAGACAGCTTGACTAATTGTCAGCCTGTGCATTTCCTTACTGTTCAACAGCCAGTGACAGTGAATTGCAAAAATGCAAAATTCATTTTCCAGTTCTTTTTCCCCCTATGCTGACAGGCTCACAAAACCAGCACCCAGCTGTGAATCTATGGAAAACACACTGAGTGAAAAAAGAAAACCCAAGGTGGGGGGGAAAGCCCTGATCAAAGCGTGATCAAGGGCAAAACAAAGTCTGTCCTTGAAATCCCTGCAAGCATTTTAATGGCAACCCTGCACATTGCACTACAACACTGAACTGCTCGGGAAACGCACCCAGAATAGAGATGATATTGCAAGTGATAAATATTTAGGGAATGATAGTGCAGACTAAAGGCATGGGAGCAAAAATAAAGGGGTGTGTTTTGACCCATTGAGTCATTCAGTTCTGAGTCTTTAAACCAGAAAAGTTCTGGAGCACATGCTCATCTTAGAAGACGTTAATGTCTGATCAAATGTATTTAATTTATATATTTAAAGTTAGGCATGCACTTAAGTGTTTTTCTAGACTGGCTGCTCAGAACTTTCCAAAATCAAGCTCTTTCCTGGGTCCTGGATGTTAACATTCTATAAGGAGATTTCTCATTTCTTACTGTCCTTTAGTCACATGTCTTGTAGCATAAATTATATGAGTAATACATTTAATGGAGAAATGTTGTATGAGAGAGAAAACAACATTTACAAAGAGTGGTTTGAAAGTAGTGCTGTTTTACTGCTGTGGGTGGTTTAATAATAATTGGTGACTATTTTTATTTGTGAGTTGAAGGGGCCAGCCTCCCCAGCAGCCCACCCCTGGGATGGCAGCACGGCGGCTCTGTCACTCACCTCCCTGGGTGCAGGACAGGATGCTTTCTGCTTGTGTCCACTTCTTTTACAGTCAGTGGAACTTCAGCTCCTGTAGTCAAACAGAAGCTCTGGGAGCCTGTGGACGAGCCGTCAGCAAGGCTGGAAGGGACTGGGGCAGTGACAAATTTGGTGGCGCATTTCCCAGTGTTGCCTGGAGAGGGGACAGAGGGAACGACTTGCCCTTGTACCAGGAGGTGCTGCCTTCTGTATAAACATCTAAAATGAAAATGAGTCCTGTGCTAAGGTCCTGGGAGATTTCCTTTCACCACTAGTTACCCACTGTATTAACTCCTGCCTGTTTCCACCAATAATTACAGTCGCTCCCCCACGGGAAAAGCTGAGGGGAGATGGGGCTGAAGGGAGTGGGATGAGGGCAGATAGGGCTGAGGGGAATGGGCTGAGGGGAGAAGGGGCTGAGGAGGGATGGGGCTGAGGGGAGATGGATGGGGCTGAGGGGAGATGGGGCTGAGGGGAGTGGGATGAGGGGAGATGGAGCTGAGAGGAGATGGGTGAGAGGAGATGGGTGAGAGGAATGGGCTGAGGGGAGACGGGGCTGCAGAGGGATGGGGTTGAGGGGAGATGGATGGTGCTGAGGGGAGATGGTGCTGAGGGAAGATGGAGCTGAGAGGAGATGGGTGAGAGGAGTGAGCTGAGGGGAGATGGGGCTGAAGGGAGATGGGCGAGGGGAGTGAGCTGAGGGGAGATGGAGCTGAGGGGATCTGGCTGACGGGAGCGCGCGCGCGGCCCCGCCCCTCCCAAGCCCCCGCCCCCCGGCGCGGTCCCTTTAAGCGCGCGCGGGCGGGGCCGGCGCGTGTCACGTGCGGGGGCGGGGCCGGAGCGGAGCCCGCGCTCGCGCCGGCGGAGGCAGGCGCGCGCCCGCGCCGTGCCCGCGCCCCCGCAGCGGCCATTCCCCCTTCCGCCCCGGGGCGCGCGCGGGCGGCGCGGGAGCGCGGGACAGCCCCGCGCGCCCTTCCCCGCTCCCTCCTGCCCTGCCCTTCCCTGCCCTGCCCTTCCCTGCCGGCGGGATCCGCGCGAGGATGGAGCTGTTCCAAGCCAAGGACCACTACATCCTTGCAGAGCGGAGCGCGCGCTGTGTGCAGCCGGAGGGACGGCAGCCTGCAGCTGAGAGCCGGTGAGACACACAGACACCACAGACACACAGACACACAGACACACAGACCCCCGGGCCGCGCCCGCCGCCCGCGCGGGGAGCGGGGCGGGCCGGGACCCCCTCGGAGGGCGGCGTGTCCTCGCGGTGCGCCGCCCCCGGAGCTCGGGACCGGCCGCGGCTGCCCCGGCTGCGGGAGCCGCGGCGGTCACGCGTGTCCCGGAAGCGTGGTCCGGAGCGTGTCCCGAGAGCGTGTCCCGGAGCGTGTCCCGGTAGCGTGTCCCCGTGATCCCGCCGGTCACGCACCTCTCCGTGTGTTGGTTTCTCCCCAAAATGAAGCGGCGCTGCCCGGCTGCGCTGCGGGTGTGACCCCCATAGTTGCCGGTGTCTGGTCCCCCCCCGCCCCGGGGGAGCATCGTGGGGCGCGAAGGGCCGTGTTTGGGGTGGTGACAGCCTTACATAAGGGATGCTCCTGGCGGACGGGAATTGCGGCTGTGAGCCAATGTGCCCCCTGGTCGCCTCCACCAGGGGAAACCGAACAGGTGGCTCCGCTGGGCTGGGGCTCGCTGATCGTTAAGGTCCGTTCCAACCCCTGCCAGGCTGTGACTTCTGAAGCGCTTCGGAATTTTTTGGTGGCTGTGTGATGGCAATTACAGTGCTACGTATTGCCCACTCTCCGTATTAGTACCAGGCTGAAGGGAACGTGAACAAAAATTGAGACGGAGTTGTGTTAATGGGAATTTTGAAACAGTGGTGGTTATCCTGTCCTGCCCGGGAGGTCGGTCAGTAAAGGTGTCCATAAACCGAAATACCGCCCTTATAAACTGTCTTGCTTTGAGTAATATGGGCTCCCTGCCCATGGCATGGGGCTGGAACAAGATGATCTTTAAGGTCCCTTCCAACCCCAACCACTGTATGACTCCGTGATTCTCACGTGTAGCTTTGATGTAAAGGATCACACTGACCCTGCTTCTGTGTTAAAGGTGCTCTAAATAGCTGTGGGTTTCACCAAACATGTGGCAGGTTGCACAGATGTTGCTCACAGCTTTCTAAAATTGGGATCTGTGTTATGGCAAAAGTGGTGGCTGAGTGTGCATGTGGCCAGGTTGGTTGTCTGAGTACAGTACTTTGTGAGCTTTTTTAAAGAGGCTGGACAAATTTATAGGTACACATCAAATGCCATTGTTATCTGTGTTTTCCCAAAGAACTGTTTTTCATACTGCTTGTTTTATGTTTTCATCCTTGAGTTGTGTCTTGTCAATGCAGTCTGTTTGTTTGTGTCTCTTAGACAAAATTACAGTGTGTGTCAAGTTAGCATGACTAATTCTAGTCTATCAGCTCCACTAACCCAGCAGTACTTTGATTGCTAAGTGATCTTACAAAATACTTGATGTTAAGCTAGCAAAAAGCACTGCTGGTCAATGAAATACATGCTCTCACAGGGTGCAAAACCCCCCAGCCCCTCAGGTTTAGATTTGTGATAGCTGTAGTTATCTGCATAGGCATGAAAGCTCTTACTTGACCCAGACTAATAAAGGCACAAACTAATGAGCTGCACTTCTGGAGACTGGTGTTCCAATACTTTACGAGCATCAATCCCTTGTTTTCATGCAGCCATTGCTGTGTTTGTTTATTTTTTCTTGGTGTCCATTAACTTCCCGGAGGCTTTGCCAGTGCCCAGCAGTTTGTCTGTGCTGCTCAGCAGCATTTTGCCCTTAGCCTGCCTCTCCATTTTCAGCCAGTTCACATGTGATCCCTCTTGTGTGTGACCTGCAGATCAACGAGAGGTAATGTGATATTGGAGTCTCTTGGTCTGCTTGAAACTCTTGATTGTTAGTCACTCTTTCTCATTCCAACCTGTTTGTAGTTTAGTTTTTCCAACCCTGTCTGCGGATCATCTTCTTGACAGCAGACTTTAGGAGATGAACTCCCTTAGTATGTTTAATGTAAAACCAAGAAAGAAGCAGTTCTCTTACAGGAAGTATCTCTTGGATCAATAGCTCTTTCTTGTATTGAGACAAAGCTGCACATCCTCAATTTTACGGTTTTATTACATTTATAATCGAGGCCACTGCCCGGAAATGAGCAAATGGATTTCTGTGTGATGAGTCATTGCCATGTTAAAAAAAACAAACAAAGTCATAACTTGTGTTCGCTGACGTGTTTAATAATCTGTCAAAAGGCTGTAATCTAACTATGTGTCTCTGCTTGTTGTTGGAGGCCTTGGTTTTATTCTGTCCCACGGAGGCTGCTCTGAATTAATTGTTGTGCATTCATGGATTGAAATAGATAACAGTGGTAAACCTAGCAAAATATTGCTTTATATGGTAGGTCTGAATCTAAAGGGCTGGTGATAAGCTTTAGAATACTCTCCTCCCTCAACTATGTAGGCATGTTTAGAAATTTGCTAATCTTAAAAGCTGTATTTTGGACCTCTTTGAATCGTGGAGATAACAGCTTGAATAAAAAAAAGGCAAAAAATCTTGTTAAATATTTGCCTTGAGCAAAGCCTGAGGTCGGCCCTAGTTTGAAGGATATCTGCTTGTGTTTACAAGATGTTTCTGGTTTTTTTTTATTCTCTAAAATGAAAGCACTAATGAGTCACCTGCAGGAAATCCATTACTCACTTTGGCATCCTGGATTTTTAAGGAATTTAGCTGCCTACAGTGTATTTTTTTCAGTGTAGTGAAAAAACATGTGTTGTTCAGCCATGCCTTAAATACCTTCCATCAGGTCTTGGTCAGGATTTCACTCTTGAATTACTCTGTGTGGCTGCTCCTGACTGGTAGTTGTACCCAGGTTATGCACAGACTTTTATTGATGGTGTTGGTATAATTTATGTGTTTATATTTGCCTGTGTATACATGTATAGAAAGGAGCAAAAGTACTGAAGGCATTTGATTCTTCTCAGTGTTTTCTTATCAGTAGAAAAAGGAATGAGACTATGTTGTGTCGTGGAAACTTCTATTATCATTGTGTTGGCTCCAGGCAGTAATGTCATGCTAAATAAGGTTGGGAATAGCTGCCACTAAAGCTGTCTCTAGGAGTTATGCTGCTTCCCACCACCCTGGAGAAAAATCCCTGTCAGATACTGAGTGGCACACGGACTGGAATTACTCCAACACAACTTTTAGGGATGTCATGCTCAAAGTCTCCACAGTTTCCTCTGCCTGTAAGAGTGAGGTGGTGTTAAGGTGTGTCTTACTTTGGAATTGTAGATAGAGGCAAATGAACATTTGTCTGTTTTAAATAAACACTTTAGGAATTTATTTTTACAGTATTCATTTTCATCTGTTGAAAATGGTTGTGAACCAGCAACTGAAGCAATGCCTTTTAAATACTTCCAGTGAGGGACATGTTGCCAAACATTATTTTCAGAGTATCAGGGGACAGATTTGAGGATAGGTGTCTAAGTTTGACAGTGTGATATCTTTTCTGAAATAGAAATCATAAAGCCATCTAATATTCTAGCCTTTGCTTGCCTTCTCCTCAAAGGCATTACAGGAGTTGTGTAGAAATCACTTGTCAGGATTCCTGAGCTGTCCTTTGTGATTGCAGACTGGAGGAGTTCCTTTGTGTGCAGTCTAATGCCTGAAAATGCTCCAGTGAAGGCCTTGAACTGGTGATGAATGGTGTAAGGAGTGAAACCACTGCTACCAATACATATATTGGCAAATTTAAGGCTCCAGAGTAGTCCTGGGCATGGCTCTGAGGGGGTGGTGGCCTGAGTGCTAACTCATGCTGCTGAATGATTTTATGTAAAATTGCCTTCCTGAGTTTCAGCACTATGTCTTGGAAACTGCCTGTCTATTCTGGGAAACTAATTCCACAGGAGGCTGCAGCTTTGGAAAAATCCTCTCCATATTTCAAGTCACTTCATAAGGAACCTCAAGCTGTTTTTTTGACACCTTTTCAGCTGCACTGGTTGCTGCACTGCTTCTCACCCTTGCTTGCTCATCCTGTTCCCTCTCTTCCTTACTCTTCCTGAGCTGTCAGCACCACGTACTCGTGGCATCTGTGACAAACCAGATGTCAGAGCTGATCTGTATTAGCTGCAACCCAGCAAGGATGTGTGCTGAAATCTTGAGCAGCTGGGGCCCTGGTGCTGCTTTCTCCTTCTTGTGCAAGAGAAGAGGGGACTGGGCTGGGCTGCTCTGTATCCTTTGCAGATTAAATATTATATACACTAGTCAACGTTGTAGCTTCTGGCTGTGGGGCAAGATCTTCAAATGTATTTATGAGAGAGAAATTATTTTCTGCTTCTAATAAGTAGGGTCTACTTTGTGATTTTATCCATGATTCTTTTTACAGAGCATACTAAACCTGAGACTTAATGTGGGTTAATAGTGTGCTACAGCCTAACCTGGTGAGAATTAAATAAATCTTGAGGTCAGGGGTTTCTTTACTTTCTTGTTGAGTGTTAGCAGATGACAAGTTGTCTTTCTTCTTCTTCTTTTCCTCCTATGAAGAGTTCTGGAAATGCCAAGCTTGTCCCAACTGAGATGCACAGATGTCTTGGAATTCCTGCCTGTGCTGAAATGGTTTTAGGTTTTAAGGACATGAAAAACTTCTCAGGCTTGATGTTCTGGTGTTGCTGGTTCCTTCTTTTTTAGATTCATTAAAATGAATCTAATTCAAGTGGATTTTTGTGCCTTGAATTTTGCTAGCAGAGGTTAGGCTCATCTTTGATCTCATGGGTTAGTATTAACTAAATATTGAATGGGAAAGTGCAGACTAACTGCAACTAAAATATTTAGAACAGAAGATACTGACTTCAAATAAGAAAGGTTTGCATCTGTACCAAAGGCTTGTGTCTTTTTTCATCTGAGAATACTGTTATTCTTACTGGGTTCTTTCACAGTTTAACAGTGTGGCTGGTATTTCAGTGCTGGATGTGTGAGGAAACATTAAAACTTTAATGTTTTTAAGTTTTAAACTCTCTGAACTGCATGAAAAGGCAGCCATTTATTTGATGTGCTACCTGGGCTTTTCCAAAACAATTATTGTAGATTGAAATGAGATTTTTTTAATGGTCTTAAACTGATACTGTTAAACACACAGGAGAGCCCTTGAAGTTGTGCTCCAGAAAGGAAGTTCATGCTGTAGATTTTAAGGTGAGAGTTTTTTAAAAACTCTTCCCTGAAGGTTTTGTGTGACTTGAGGAAATAATTTGCTGGGCAGTGGGACATTTGCTGAGTGAAAGAGTGGGACTGACAGTAGGAGAATATTTTCCTTTGCTTCTCTTCCAAAGGGCTGCAGCTGCCACAGGAGCCCTGGCATTCAAGGGACTCCAGAGCAACTTCCACTCAATATTTCCCTATGGCACTTCTCAGATGTTTAGAGTTTTTATTTGGAAGAAAATTCTTCAGTGCAGTAGCAAACATGTCTCAAATAAAGCTTAATGGGTTTCAGAAACTCATTCTTTAGGTTTGTATATTGACACTCATGGCCCAGAGTTTGACAGAATGTGCTTTTTACCCTCAAATGTCTCAAAGATTTGAGGCTTCTGATGAAAGCTTTTTTGTTGGTATTTAGAGGCATTGGGTTTCTTTAATGTTATAAAGAACATGAATTTTTAATGTACATAGAAGTTTTTAGAGAAGATGCAAATTTAGAGTTGCCAAATTTGTTTTTCATTAAGTGTTAAACTTGCTGTGAACTTGTGACTCAGAGTGGCTCTGCTTAATGAATATTCTGGATGTTATAAAAATGTATGTTGTTATTCTAATTGAGAATATGCACGACTAAATCTGTGTTTCTTGAAAACCCACTGTCCTG